TTGATAGAATCAAAGGGATAGAAAATTCCATAATCATAGATGGATTTTAACACTCTCTGAAACTGATAGTAAAACTGGACCCCCCAAATTAATAAACATGTAAAAGATTCCAACGTTATTATCAACCATCTTTCCTCATTGACATTTATAGAACACCATACCCAGCAACTACAGAATATAATTCTTTCATGTAAATATGTAATATGTATCAAGATAGACCATATGCTGGGTCAAAAAATGTCTCAGTAAATTTCAAAAGATTGAAAACTTACAGAGGTTGTTTTTTTTTTCCCTATGAACACAATGGAATTAAATTAGAAATCAAAAAAGACATATAGAAAAGCTCCCAGATATTTGTAAATTAAGCAACACATGTTTAAATAACACATGGCTCAAAGATGAGATCACAAAGAAAAAATTTAAATACGTCAAACTGAATGACAAGGAAAATTCAACAAATCAAAATCTGTCAGATGCAATTGAAGCAGTGCTTACAGGGATATTTATAGATTTTAATTTGTTTTGGAAAAGACAGAAAGGTTTAAAAATCGATGATATAATTTACCTTGTAAAAAGCTGGAAAAAGAAGAGCAAATTAAGCCCGAGTAAGAGAATAAAGGAGATAATAAAGATAAAAGCAGAAACCAATGAAATAACAAGCAACACCTAAGACAGTGGTCATGAGCACCATACTCTATACCCCATGTCTTATGAGGTCTTTCCACTATCATTCATGGGCTTACAAATTATTCCTGGCCAGTTTCAGCTCCAGGTAATATTCCTCCTGTTGCTTTCCAGTGTGTTTTTTCTTTCCACCTTGATAGTTTCCTTGCACATGTATAATGATCAACACTCAGCTACAGACTCAGAGGAACTCTCTACAGATGTCCAATGTTTTCTCTGTGTTCAGCTCTCTCTCCTCCCTACTCTGACTTGCAAATTCTCACCACTGTGGCCTTCCTAGACACCCCAACTCTGCTCAACTCATGGGGACCATTAGATTCTGTTTGCAGTCCCACTCCCTGTGCTGTGGCCTTGAAACTCTTTCCAGCCGTGCACACACACACACACACACACACACACAAAGAGGAAAAAGGAAATGAAAAACAAACGGTACATATTAAAACATGCAACAAGATAATTCAGACTCAACCATGTCGATGATCATGTTAAATGCAAATAGTCTAGATGCACCAGTTAAAAGGAAGAGATTGTAACATTGGATATAAAAATAATAACCAAATCTATGCTGTCTGTAAGAAACCCACTTCAAAACTTATAAAAGGATGGAAGAAGATACATTAGTAACACTAACCAGAAGAAAGCTGGAGCTGCTATGTTAAACAAGTCAAAGTGGATTTAAGACCAAGGACTACTACAAGGATAAAGAGGACCATTTCATAATGATAAAGGGGACAATTCATCAAGAAGAGCTAATCCTACTAAATATTTATACACCAAGTAATAGAGCTTCAAAATACATGAAGCAAAAACTGACAGATTTCAAAGGAGAAACAGACACATCCAGAGTTAATTACAGTTTTTGATACTTTCTCTCAATAGTTGATACAATAGATAGATGGAAAATCAGTAAAGATAGAGAAGACAATAATACTACCAAAAACAATGGCAGAACATAATTCTTATCAAGGACACGTGAAACATTCATCAAGATGATCATATTATGGGCCATAAAACAACTCTTAATCAATTTTAAAAGACTGAAATTCTACAGATAATATTCTCTCACCACAGTGGAATTAAATTAGAAATCAGTATCGGAATAGCTGGAAAATTACAAATATCTGAAACTAAAGTGCACACTTTTAAATAATCCGTGGCTTGAAGAAGAATTCACAATAGAAATGAGAAAGTATTTGAACTGAGTAAAAATTAGAGCATAACTTAAAATGTGTGGGATGCGGTTAATGTGTAGAGGGAAATTTCAAGCATTAAATGCTTGTATTAGAAAAGCAGGAAAAAACTCAAGTGACCTACAGTTCTACCATAAAAAAACAAAACAAAACAAAAACGGTAAAATCAGCCCCAAGTACAAGGGAAAACTGAAAACCAATATAGTAAAATCAGTAAAAGCAAAGGCTTGTTGAAAATATCAATAAAATTGATAAACTTCTGGTCAGATTTAGCAGGGGGCAAAATGAAAAAAGATATAAATTACCAATAGCAGAATTAGAGGCCATCATTAAAGAGCCTAAGTGAATGTTATGAACAACGTTTTGTCAGTAAATTCAACTGAGATAAAAGGGACAAATGCCTTAAAAGACACAATCTATAAAAGCTCACTCAAGATGAAATATATAGCATGAATAGCTCTATAAACATCAAAGAAATTGGATTTGAATTGGAAAACTTTCTTGCAAAGACAACTTCAGGCCCAAATGGCTTTGCTGGCGAATGCTACCGAACACTTAAGGAAGAAATAATACCAATTCTGCGTAAACTTCCAGAAAATAGGACAGTGCACTTCCGAATTCATTACCCTGAGACCAAAACCAGACAAACACATTACAGGAACAGAAAGCTATAGCACAGTATCCCTCATAAAGATAGATGCAAACTTCCTTAACAGAATGCTTTCCAATTGAATCCAATTATATCTATATGTGTAATACCTCATGATGAAGTGGGGTTTATCCTGGGAACTCAGGTTAGTGTAACGTTGGAAAATAAATGAATGTAATTCCTATCTATAGACCATAGAAAAAAAGCATATGATCATCTCAACAGGTGCAGGAGAGGCCTTTGACAAAATTCAATATCCATTCACAATAAGAACTCCAAAAAACTAGGAATAGAAGGGATATTAACCCATTAATAAACACTTCAAAAATCTTTAGCTAACATCATAATTTATGGGTAAGGACGGGATGCTTTCTTCTTAAGATTAAGAACAAGGCAAGGATGTCCAACTCACCACTCTTACTCATAGCACTGGAAGTTCCAGCTACTTTAATAAGGCAAGAAAAAGGGAATTCCCTAGCTGTCCAGTGGTTAGGATTCCGCATTTTCACTGCCAAGGGCCTGGGTTCAATCCCTGGTGGGGGAACTAAGATCCCGCAAGCCAAGCCGTGTGACCAAAAAAAAAAAAAAAAAAGGCAAGTAAAAGAAAAGTCATGCAGATTAGAAAGAATGAAATAAAACTGTCTGTTTGCACATGACATGACTGTCCATGTATAAAATCCGAAGGCATCTTCAAATAAAACAACCCCTCCTAGCAGTAAGAAATGAGTTTAGCAATCTTGCAAGATGTAAGATCAACAAGAAAAATCGACCACATCTCTATGCGCCAGCAATGAACGTGTGGAACCAAAATTTAAAACACAGTGCTGGGGCTTCCCTGGTGGTGCAGTGGTTGAGAGTCCGCCTGCCGATGCAGGGGACACGGGTTCGTGCTCTGGTCCGGGAGGATCCCACTTGCCGCAGAGCGGCTGGGCCCGTGAGCCATGGCCACTGAGTCTGCGTGTCCAGAGCCTGTGCTCCATAACGGGAGAGGCCACAGCAGTGAGAGGCCTGCGTACCGCAAAAAAAAAAAAATTGGAGCAGTGGTTGCAGAAGGCATGGACTACAAGGGCCTTGAGAGAACTTTCTGGGACAACAGAGATGTTATCTGTTGACTGGGATGGTGATGACATGGGTATTTGCATTACTCAAAACTCAGCAAAAATTGTACTCTTATCTGTGAATTTATTGTAAGTTTTGCCTCAAAAAAGTTACCATGAAGGCACATTGCTGTTCAGCCTTCAACTAGCATCGTTGCACCATTGTACCCCATAAAGTTCCAAATTCCTTCCTCAAAAAACCTACAACAAAATGCAAAATAGACTATAAAGCAAAAGATAATAAATAAAAAGTCCGTTAACATAATGTCAAAATATTGGGGGGACAAGTAATATATTGTTTGTCCCTCAGAAAGTCCATTTTAAAAACATTTTCTTTCTAAGCATATAATTAAAAATTAAACAGATGGTTTTTGTTTTATTCTAGTATTCTGTATCACAAAATAAAAGCAAAACACACTGACTGATTTTTTTTTTTTAACCAAGCATACCTCATCTGTATTGTTAGAAGTCAGGGTAGTGGCTTCCCTTGAGGGGGGGGGTAGCGACCAAGGGAACCACGAGGCAGCCTTCTGAGGGGGGGTGAGGTTCTGTTTCCTGAGCTGGGTGCTGGTTACACATGTGTGTTCAGGGTGTGACAGTTCATCAAATTGCACTTATCGTATATGCATATGTATATATATGTGTCTATATGCATCCACTTTTCTCAATGTTTCTCAATTATACGTCTATAAAATTAAAACAAAACCAAATTAATCTTAAAAAGTTAACCATAGTGAAAGATTGGTGAACAATGAATAAATTCAAAGTAGAAATTGTTTTTTGAAAGAGAGAAGTGAGAGAGAGAGGAAGGGAGGAAGGATGGACACAGTGCCTGACACCCACGTGGTCCTCATTCAAGGTCAGTCATTATGATTATTATTTGTGGACTCCTATGGTTGACCTGTAAGATCTGGGGAGTTAAGACGGGGCTGTGGGTTTGGGTGGCACCAGATTACCTCTGAACGGTCCAGGAGGTGGTGATGTAGATGGCAGTGGCGTTGGTGAGCCCCTGGACCATTGCTGTTTGGTCAGCAGGGCTGATGCCCCACAGCTTGACTTCTGATCTTGGCGAGAGTGATGTCCTCTGGTCTGAAGCCCACTAGGAACGGTATGGCGGGCTGGGGGCAGAGGGAGAGAAGCGAACCTGCATCAGGACACGATGCGCCTCTCTGGTCGTCGTTTGGGTTCATCTCTGTGTGCTCGTGGCATGGATTTGCCTCTTCCCCACGCCAGGTCTATTGCATTTTAACAACTGGAGCGTTATGAAGTGTTGATATCTGGTCGGGATATGGGAGAAGGAAATGCATGGTGCCCAGTGGCCCCCCTGGGCTTGGGAGACGCTCACGGGATGGAGGGCGTATTGCTGGGTCAGCCGGTCACAGTCTGCATCCGAGAAGGCGACCAGATTCCATGAGCTGCTGAGCGCTCATGGAGAACAGGGTCTGGGAGGAAGGAGGACAGTGGGGTAGGTAGGCTTCAGAAAACTGGCCGAGCTGAGTCCAAAGAACCTCTGTTCTCTCTGGGGTGATGAGCATTGGAAGTAAACACACAAGCTGCAATGAACTAAAATGCCAAGGGGCCAGACTTGAGGAAGAGACTCAGATCTCTTCTCTTTTGAAACTGGCAGGAGGAGGAAATGGGAAGGGTACGTGTGGGGGAAAGAACAGGAACGAAGGCTCAGAGGCCGGTCTAAGCTCTGAACCCACACCTAGGACCACAGCTTGGAGAACAAGCGTTTCGGTCTGGGAAGCAGGTGCCGGCACCTCCCCTCTCCCCTCCAGCCACCTTGTAGCTGTTGATGGCGATCTTGACCGACACATCCAGGGGCTGGTTGGTCACCCCACCCACTGTCTTCAACAGGGCCATTAAAACCAGGGGGAACCACATGAGGAAGACCAAAGCGAACATGGCGATGCACCCAACCCTGTACTTCATGGCTTTCTTCTGCTGCCGCCCAGGCGGCCGGGGGTATTTCTGCAGAAGAGGGGCAGCAGGTCAGGGCCAGGCAGATACAGACTCAGTGGGGGACAGGTTGGTGAGTGACCCCCCCCCCAAAGTTGGGGGAAGGTGGTCAATTCAGGGAATGTCTAGTGGTCCAAAGTGCTGGGGTCAGAGAGAGTTGGACCCAAGTGCCGACCCCTCGTTCTTCCCAGCCGTGTGACCTTGAACCCAAAGCCATGCTGAGCTGCCTGCCTCTCTGTAAAATGGGAAAAAATGGTACCTGCTTCTTCAGGGGGGTTGAGCATCCGTGAGATGATGGTGGGAGAACTTAACATAAAGTCTGCCATTTTATGGAGGATTTACTACAAACTCCTGAGCCCAGAGTGAAGCAGGGCCTGGGCCACACCATGAGGTGAGCATCCGGCCCACTGGGTAGGGCAGGAACCTCACTGCTCCGGGGGGACGGGTTGAGACCAGGAAAGCTGCCACCGCCAAGCCTCCCGAGAGGCAGGAGCTGCTGCGTGCCCACCTTCTCGGACTCCTGGCAGGACTTCATGATGAAGATGTTGGCATACACGTCCTCCAGGCATATCCAATTGGACAGGATGAGGGCAGTGTCAGTCCACACCCAGTCTATGACAACCCTCAGCCCCAGCAGGAAAGGCACCAGGCGGAACCTGGGAGCAGAGAGGACCACTGCGAGGCTGGAGGGCACTGGTCCACCCAGGGGTCCAGCCCATCCATCCATCCAACCTGTCCGTGCGACTGCATCTCGTCCTTGCCCTTCCCCCACCCCATCCATCCGTCCAGCGCCATCCACCATCTCATGCATCTTATCCTGTCTCTTCCCATCTCATCCCGCCCCATCCCAGCCACCCCATGTATCCTCCATCCTTTCAGCAAGTAATCTTACACTCTGCCAGGCCCCATGCTAAGTATCTAGGCTATGCGGGTTAACAAGAGCGACAGAACATCCTGGTTGGCGGACACCGACACTAAGTAGCTAAACGTTTCTAGATCGTGGTAAGTGCTACAAAGGGAATAAGCAAAGCGAGTGGCAGAGACGCTCCAGTTGGGCAGCTGGGGAGGGTCTTTATGCCGGGACCTAAAGGATGAACAGAGGCAACTCTGTGGAAGGGGGTGGGATGAGGATTCCCAGGACAGCAGCACCCCCACAGGTGAGAAACAGCTGGACACAGTCTGGGAACAGAGCGGCCGCAGGGGCCCACGGAGGGGAAGGATGCGAAGTGAGGTAGGAGACGCGGGCGGGATCGGGCCACGGGGTCTCGTGCGCTGCAATGAGGAGAGAGTGTGCAGGGAAGATGTGCAAACACAGCTGGTTCCCCCTTGCCCTGGTTCAGCCTACACAGGGGTCCCAGGACCCCCTCGGACGTGGTCCCATCAGAGAGACTCCGTACCTCCAGACATGGGCCCAGAATTTGTCCTGGATGGGCCCTGCAAGCCCCAGTGGGCCCCTGCCAGGTACATCTGAAGCTCCGTTCTCTACTCACCCTCTGAACAAGATAAGGTTGATGAGGTTGAAGTGTTTGGTCAGGAAATTTCCGAGGATCTGGTTTGGGTAGTCGCACCTGATCTGGTAGGCGGACGGGCCAAAGTAGATGCATTTCACCAGGTACCAGATCTGAGCCACGTGGTTGAGATTAAACCTCCTGCAAACGCCCAGAGAAGGGGAGCATCTCAGTCACACCTGGGCCTCCACAGCCCCGCCCAGGAATAGGAGGGGGCTCAGGAACCCAGTGCACTGAGCTCATCAAAGCCAGGAGGAAAACTGGGGTTATTATTTCAAGCATAATTGTTAGTTGGGGAAGAAAGGAAGAAAAAAGTAACACTATTTTTCCTCAAATGATTTGATTTGCAGGTGGCCTCTGGGGACACCTGGGCTCCCTTTACTTTCCTGAAAAAGGCAAGTTTTTATTCTCCACTCACCTACTCCTGACAGAGGAGCCAGGGCCGCAGCTCCAGGTGTCAGAACCTCGCCCCTCTCGGGCTGTCTGCGGCTCGGCTGCTGACTTATTCTTAAGATAATCCTTAAATCTTCTTCGTTGGGCCGAAAGGAGATCATCTAATCAGAAGGGCCTCGGGAAGCTCTTGACGTGCTTCTTGGCAGAACGGGGAGAAATGAGCCCCCAGCAAGTTTGCTGCAAACGTCTCTTCTGGAGACAAGTTTCGAGCCAGGCCCTGGAGTCCAGGGGAGGTTTGATGTCTCTGCTGCTCTAAATCTGGGCTTGGAGCCCAGGCCTGGGGTGGCAGGTCAATGCCACCTTGCGTCCCCCGCCGTTTCTCAGCTGGAACCCGGCCATCTCCTAGTCTCCCTGGCAGGCCTGGCGTTGGCCTTTTTCGTAGGGAGGGAACGAAAGTACAGCTGGGCTGAGCCAGGGGAGTCCCTGGGGGAGGTTTACAAGGCCTGATAAATATTTCTCGAGCTTATTTACAAAGCTGCTCGGGGATACATCAGCGGTTCAGTCCTCTGCTTCTCACTCCATGGGAATTGCAAGATGCTCCCCGTGCAGGTGGATCTTTGCGTTTTTTCTTTCTTTTTTTTTGTTTTTTTTTTTGTTTTTTTTTGCGGTACGCGGGCCTCTCACTGTTGTGGCCGCTCCCGTTGCGGAGCGCAGGCTCCGGACGCGCAGGCTCAGCGGCCATGGCTCACGGGCCCAGCCGCTCCGCGGCTCGTGGGATC